CAAACATTTCTCTAGTTGTGTCTGAGCTATCTCTACAGAAGCACACCTGCTTGAATGAGCTGTTTTATACAGTATATAGAAAGGAGTCTTTCTCTTCATTAGTTTTTAAAATAAGGGACTGATGCTCTACCAAGATACAGAGGGGAACAGAAAGGAGTTTGGGCTTTTGTGTGTATGTGTGTGTGTAATGAGTGCCTAGAATCGATCATCTGTGGCGGTTCCTTTGATGTAACTAGACAGTGATGCCCAGACAGTCCAGATTTTTACCCATAGAAACCATCCCAGGTCGGTTCCACAGAGCCTGTTCCACTGCCCCTAGTAGAGTCTGGCAGCTTTCTTTCTGGGATGACTTTATTTCAAACTCATTTTGTGCATTTCTTGATACCAACAGAAGATCTGGCTATGCCATTCTCAGGCCATTGTTTATTTTTTCTTTATTTAAATTTTATGTATTCGATGCAAGGTCTCACTACACAGCTCAGACTCATAGTGATCCTCCAGTTTTCAGCCTCCCCAGTGCTGGATTACAGGCACGCACCACCACTCCCAGACTCGGTTGCTATTTCAGCACACCCAAGGGGGAAGAGGCTGGTGCGGATGTGCTACTGGGGGTTGAACCCCGGTCCCTGTGTTTGCCTAAGCAGGTACTTAGTCCCCTGAGCTGTCTGACTAGCCCCATTGTTTCTTTTAGGGAGAAATGGAAGAAGAGACGTTGTAAGCCACGCAGGCCTGGTGTTGGTGGATTTGTCATGGTGTGTAGGGTCCTTCATTGACAGAGGCACTTATTTTTGGAAACATTTAAAAAAATATTATCACAGGCTTGAGGTTTGGTGTTTGAATTCTGATGAAATTGGATACAGTATATTGCTCTGACCCAGTAACTCCCCTAACACATTCCCTGACTCCAACGCCAGTCACAATCAGCGTTGTCTCCAGACATCATCAGATGCTGTCTGGGGAACAAAATTACCCCCATTAAGAACAGTGGATTATTTAATTTATT